CCTCATCAATTCTCCACTCTCTTCTTCAAACACCAACACAATCAATTACGTCAACTCCACCCATACAACCACCTATACAACCACCCATACAATCACCCATACAACCACTTCGTCCTCACTCTATGACCACGAGAAGTAAACACGGAATTACAAAACCAAAACAGATCCTTAGTCTTAACACCACCACCATCTCCAAAATCTCACACCTATGCCCTCGCGGATCCTCATTGGCGTGATGCTATGCATAGTGAGTTTGATGCTCTTATTAAAAGTGGTACATGGGACTTGGTTCACGTCTGCCGGATACTAATATTATGCGTTCAATGTGGCTCTTTCGACATAAGTTTCATGCAGATGGCTCTCTCGCTCGGCATAAAGCACGGCTTGTGGCAAACGGTAAATCACAACAACAGGGCATCGACTGTGAGGACACATTTAACCCCGTAGTTAAGCTGACCACTATACGGACTGTTCTAAGCATTGTAGTGTCGAGATCTTGGTCGGTCCATCAATTAGACGTTAAAAATGCCTTTCTACATGGCCATCTCATGGAGACAGTGTATATGTTCCAACCGCCGGGTTTTCGTGACTCTACTCATACGGATTATGTATGTCGGCTACAAAAATCCTTATACGGTCTAAAACAAGCTCCTCGGACATGGAATCATCGCTTCACCGCGTATGCTTTCAAAATGGGCTTCTCTCAAAGTCGGAGCGATACATCCTTATTTGTGTTTCGACGTGGTCACGAGCAAGCGATGCTCCTTTTATATGTGGACGACATCATTCTCACTCCTCCTCCGACAAGCTCCTTCAAAAGATTATCTCCTTCCTCAAGGCCAAGTTTGCCATGTCCGATCTAGGTCCGCTTTACCACTTTCTTGGTGTAACGGCCGAAAGAAACTCTGCCGGGTTATTTCTTCAACAATCAACATATGTCGCTACCATTCTATTGGGTTTCCTGGGATCTCTAGAGCGAATCTAATTCCTAAGAGATCGGTTCTAGGGTTTGCGCAGCGGATGTAAAACAAAAATTTTGATGAAACCCTAAAACCTATCATGCATGATCTTGTAGAAACGTTAGAACGCTTACCTCAATCGATCCGGGGACTGTATCAATTGATGTGTTTGTCTGATCACTGTAGGCAGAAAGAATACCTCGCCCTCTACACGTATCCACACGGCGGAAAGGATTCCAACTGTTGGAACTTATCTGCTAGGACTGAAGAACGCTTTCTTCTTTGCGCAAGAGTTTCAGGGATTAATCTCTTAGGTTTTCCACTCTCAAAATCTCTCAAAAGGGTCTGAAAGTCGTGCCAAAGAGCTTCTGAGGCGTTCCCCAAACTTCCTTAACCCTAAAACCCTAATTTGGGCGAGTTAATGAGATCCCGACGTCTGTACCGATCGTTCCAGGCCTGGACCAATCGGTCTGGAGCTTATTACATGTGGACCGATCGGTCTAGCACTCTGGACCGATCGGTCTGGAACATTTTCCGGACCGAACAACATTTGCACGTTACCTCTGGACCGGTCGGTATGGCCTCCGCTCCACCGAAAAATTCTCGTCTTTTCTCGCGCGTTTGTCATTTCTTGTGTGTGTGACTCTGTAGGCTCATCCGATATAACAATAACCCGAAATATATATTTCGGTTATACAAGTCATAGGCGGTCTCTAGCAAGACATTATGACTATCTATCTCGAATAGAGTTTGTTTGTGATCTTACGAACGCCGGTGTTGATTCTGTTTGATGATCCTTTTGTATCACGATATCATATGTCGAACATAAGGCATGGACAAGCCACCTTATCTGATTCGATTGCTTTCTCGTTCACTGAGTTTGACTGTGTGAAATAGACGACGTTCGTCTATAGCTATAGTGCAGCCACACATTTCTACAGTCTCGCTCACACGAGGCGTCCAACGATATCTTTCTCTTTTACGAGAGGTACAAATCCCGTCTTGACTATCTACAATCCAGCTCATGATTCGTTTCGTACCTGATACACGCCTTTATAGTCCTCCTGTTACGCAGGACGTTTGACGTATTCAAAGTACGCAAATCCTCATGTTGGATTCCGTAGATATCTCAGGTCTTAGGATCCAATCATGGAACCGTCATATGAGATTCAAGTCATGACGCAAGTCCATGTGACAATCTCATACAGATCAATCCAGTATTCCGTTCTCCAACGAACACCTATGATTGTGATCGTATCCAATACCTATGATCATCTCTATGATCATCAATCACACATCATACTAGTCTAATTACATCATTATTCCCACAATGACATACGACTAGGGAGTTTAATATTGTTCATAACAATACATGGATCTCATAACATATCAAGTATGCAAAATATGTAATGAATAAACACTCATCCATTAACCATAGAAAGTGTCAATTCATCAAATGTATCTAAATAAAATTTGCATAACAGTACATCATAGAGCACTAAACCAACACATTCTTCGAAGAGCATGTATGGAGTCATGTCACCCTCATATTACTCTTGTGGATACTAAACCTAAATTATCAGCAGATTACGGAGTACCCGTGGTTGATCCGAGCATGTTCCGCAGCATCGTCGGTGCACTTCAATACCTCACACTCATAAGGCCTGACATCCAATATGTTGTTCAATAACTTTGTCTATTTCTCCATGACCCACGTGAGCCACACCTCCAAGCAATGAAACGAGTTCTCCGCTACATTCAAGGGACCATGCATCACGGCCTCCAACTCCGACCTAGCACCACCACGAGCTTAACGGCTTATTCGGACGTAGATTGGGCTGGATGCTCGGACAAACGCCGCTCAACCTCAGGTTATTGTGTTTTCCTTGGCGAGAACCTCGTTTCATGGTCCTCCAAGCGTCAACCAACGGTTTCTCGTTCAAGTGCGGAGGCTGAGTATCGAGCGGTTGCCAATACCGTTGCGGAGACGTGTTGGCTACGCAATCTTCTTCTCGAACTACATTGCCCTCTCTCTCACGCAACCTGTGTCTATTGTGACAATGTCTCCACAGTTTACCTCTCCACGAATCCAGTGCAACATCGGACCAAACATATAGAGATTGACATTCACTTCGTTCGAGAAAAAGTTGCTCTTGGCTCCCACCGCGTCCTCCATGTTCCCTCTTCTCATCAATTTGTGGACATTTTCACGAAGGGTTTACCGGCATCACTCTTTATGGAGTTTCGATCCAGTCTTTGTGTTCGAACACCTCATGCTCAGATTGCGGGGGAGTGTTAGTAAAGTTACCTTTTTTCTAACATTTGCATATCTTCCCAGAGAATCCTACGGGATTTTATTATTGTATTATATATATATGTGTTACGCAATGTGAATAACACACGAGAGAATTATGTCCAATTACACGCCTTGGATAGTCTTTGTTGTGCATCAGGAGTCCCAGATATTTCATTGGAAATTCCCTGATCTCAATCCCCATCATCTCTGACAGTTCTTGCTTCCCATTGTCAGATACACTGCCAATAAACATTTCACATTTCCCTGGATTTATCTCCAATCCTATGTATTTTCCAAACCAGTTCAGACATTGTTTTACAGTTTTCATAGATTGTCTTGTTGCTTTACTGAAGATGACTAAGTCATCCGCAAATATCAAGTGTGTTAGCAAGGGGTTTACACATTTTGAGTGAATCTACAACTGGCCAAGGGATGTTGATTGATCGAGCTTTCTAGATAGAGCCTCCATGACGATTATGAAGAGGTAAGGAGATAGTGGATCTCCTTGCCTCAGCCCTCTCCTTTCCTTAAAGAGCCCCCATAATTCTCCGTTAATGTTGATAGAGAAAGTTAATGTTGATAGAGAAAGCAGTCGTTTCAATACATTGCCGCAAATATCAATACTTTGAATTATTAATGCCTATTCGATTATCAACATGGGTAAACATGAAAGGGTTGGACTTGGACCGAATTTACTTTGCACCCGATGTAGCTGTCGTTGCGACAAAGGGATCGAGATTGACCAATAATCACAAGGGATATATATATATATGGTTATATAATAAAATTAAGTAACGATCTTATGATTTGATTCTCGATGTAAGAGTACGAACGAACCATATCCTTTCTCTGATTAATGAATCTGATTTTTTAATATTTATGTGCATGTTAGACCATTCATATGGGTTGTCGGGTCAAATTTGTCCATACGTATATATATTTCAACGTTATGACATAATGACCCCTTTTTTTAATTACAACTTATATGATAGGGCATTCGATTCGGTTAATTTGGTTATTAACCAAATTGAACCGAATAATGTTATTTCGGTTATTAACCGAACCGAGTCAAATAACCGATTGGTTATGATTTTTTAAAACCCGAAATAACCGAATCCGAACCGATTAAAAATATTAACCATTTGGTTATAAAATTTTTAAAATCCGAAATAACCGAACCCGAACCGAACCGGACTGTATCGTTTATATATCTTCATTTATATACATATATGAATATGGGTATTCTTAATTTAGTCATTGTTTTATTATATTTTAAACGTATTTTATCATTGTTATTACTGTTTTTAAAATTCCGTGTGATATAAACATTAGAAAAAAAACGATCTTTATCTATTTAATAGTTTTATATCAAAATATGAATTTAGATATTATTATTTTATATCTCAAAATAATTACGATAATATTTTATATTATATTTTATTTGAATATTTTTAAATTATAAATGGATCAATTTTTTTTAATATTATAACTGAACTGAACCGAATCTTTATTTGGTTATAGTTTTAAATAGACAAAACCAAGCCGAACCTAATCGAACTGAATAAAATTAATTAACCGTTTGGTTATGAATTTTTTATAACCCGAAATAACCGTAACCGATTAATCCGGAACCGACCGTTCGCCCACCCCTAGTTATAACCACAATTCCCTTGTCAGCGTAACATGTACAATAACATTTCCATTTCACAATACTTGAAAACATATAAAATCATCATATTTGATAGTAATATTCGAACTATACGAAATATTTCTGATGAATATCATATATAACGAAAGACTACAAATTTAGGTTTTTTGAATTTTATATAACCGCAGAGAAAATTAACTATAGGTTCAATCTAATCTTACGCAAAGAAGCAACCCAAAAACACCCAACGACAAGCGATATATATTGTACATACCGAAACCGGGCGCATTTTAGCAGAACCGGTCGACCGGTTCGCCGCTCATGTTAGCAGCGTTCGGTATCTCAAAATGCCAAAGCCTGCCGGATGAGTTAACCCTGAATTTCCGGCAAAGAAACTCCTCGGCGAATGTCTTTTCAACTTTCCGGTCGACGTCGTGAAGGAAGACGTGGGTCATACCCTGTCCCCTTCGGTTCCTCGCCATCGTGGCCGCCGAGAATATCGCCGACATCCTCCCAGGAGCCGCCGCGAAATATCCCCTAGGAGCATCGATCATGATCAGATCCCATTCCGTCTCATAGATCTCGTCGGGAAGTGACGTCAGCGCCAATGGGCACTCCTCGTTATACCTAATGGAGTCATAATTAAGGTTGATCATTTTTTCCTATAAAAAAATTAGAGTATGTCTATTTGTATTGAGATTTGTTTAATGTAATTTCAATTAGAGGTGTCTACTTAGGCCCGGGTCCCCAAGTCCGACCCGGCCTAATCCAAAAAATAGCGGATTTCGAACTAAGTTTTTTCGGCATGAAAAAAAAAATCGAATTTTCGGACTGGACTCGAATCAGGCTTCGGACCGGAAAGCCCGATATTATTTTTTAAAAATCTTAATAAAAAAGAAAAAAATAATAAATTTACAAAGGATTTTACACGGTCAGTCCGATCCGAACCCGAAATCTATAAGGTCGAGTTTTGGTATTGGTTATATAGACCCGAAAAAATCGGGTCGGCTGGAGCCCGAGTCCGAAACACTCGAGTCGGGTTGGACCGGTCCGGCCCGATTGACACTCTAATTTTAATATTGTGTGCCATATATATATATATATATATATATATATGTTATCAAGAATATACAATCGAAATTGTAAATATGTATATGAATATGTAGTCGTGCTTGGTACATAAAAGTATTTGGGTATGATCTTCTTAATTAATACATCATTTTTTTAGAGTTACAAAAGTAAAAAAATAAAACTGTGAGAATGTAAATTTTTGTCGTAGTATGATGTCTGCCTAGTGTTTCCTAGAATGTCTGCAATTATTTTGGTATCTTCATATTTGATCCAAAATTTTACCGATATTAGTTTTTGATCCCATAATTTAGATCATACTTATACCCAAATGATAGCTGCAAAAATCTAAAATTTAAACATATTTGTTGAATCAAGCTTGATTTGTTATATTTATCAAATATTCCAACATTGTTGAGAAATGAAATGAAAATTTAAGAATTACCGGATCGGGAAGGCCTTGGAGGGCAAACACCGTGGCTTGGACCGGTACGTGGCCAGAAGGCGATCGGCTTCGGAGAGTTTGGTCCGGTAGGTGACATGGTGAGCATGCAGCGATGGCGCAGCCTTGAGGACGGTGCCAATCCAGTCAGGGTCCTCCTCGAGGAACACGGTGGTGCCACGTGGATTAAGCGACGCCCACATGAGCGAGTCATGACCGAGTCCGAAGACCAGAAAGTTGCAAGGCGACCGGTCCTTTAGCACGTCCAATGTCACTGTGATCTCGGGCAGGGACTGTTGCGGAACGATTCGTGATGTGGCGTAGTGGACGATGGCTTGGAGCTGGAGAGGCGTGGCCGAGTACTCGGCTATGGCCTTGGCTCTGTCCTTAGCCGTTGAGCACATCGAGATTCTCTCGTCCACGGCACGGGTCAAGCTCGTTATGATCATTGCACCGCCTATGAGACCGGCAAGGGCCACGGCTACGAACCATGGCCGCTCCAGCAGCGCGTGCTTCACACCCTTCGTCTTCTCTTGAACCATTTTGTCTGGGTTTGTTGGGAGAGGGGAGATGGTTCGGGAGAGGGGGGGGTATACAATGTGGTCGGATTCGGACAAAGAAGGTGGGGAGAAAATGGGATTGGTGAAGGTCAACGAGTGGAGAGCACGTTGATTTATTCGTATTTATCTATTATACACTAATCTCTTGATATTTTGGAATCTTAAATTATAATAGTATATATATGGAAAAGCATGATATTGTTCAATATGGAAAAATGTGGTAATCGGCAATCAATGGTGTGATTATTTAATTTTTTATTTCCTAAAAAATTAACATACAATAGGTAATAACCCGCGCGAATATGTATGAATTTTAAAAAAATTATTATTAGTTTTAAAGATAAATATAATATATTTTATTTTTATTTTTATAATTTATATTCATAAAGTTTTATTATAGTGTTAAGATAACATAATATTGCATTTTTTTGAAAGAGAGTTTGAGATAGTTTATATATTTATGTTTTTTGTGTTATAATATAGAATTAATTGTTATAATTTGGAATACCGAAATAATATTTTTAAAAATTATGTGACTCGATGAAAGAGTTATATTTTTGCTAATCAAGGGATATCTGAATAATGTGATTATTGAAAATCTGAAAAATAAAGTTTTAAATAATAATAATAATAATTTGGTTTGTTAGAAATCTAATAATAATATATTTAGATTAATAAATATTTAGAAAAATTCTAAAAAAATACTTAACTTTACAATTTTGATAGAAAAAAGGCTAAATTTTTGTTTTTGTCAAATAAATATTAAACTTTTTGAGTGAGTTTAAACAAGGAAAAAAACCCTAAAAATTCCTAAACTTGTAATTTGGAGTAATATTAATTTCTAAACTTGTAGAGGTGCCTATTAATTCCTAAACTTGCAAAATTGAACACGTTAAATCCTAAACTTGTTAAACGGTTTCATAATCGTCCATAACACTAGTTGATCAAAAAAAGAGTTGACTGATCTGACGTGGCGCGTGACGTGGCGAGCCAACTCAAAAAATTACCGTCACGTCACGCGCTACGTCGGATCGGTCAATTCGTTTTTTTGACCAAATAGTGCTATGGACGATTATGGAACCATTTAACAAGTTCAAGATTTAACGTGTTCAATTTTACAAGTTTGGGAATTAATAGACACCTCTACAAGTTTAGGAATTAATATTACTCCAAAATACAAGTTCAGAAATTTTTAGGATTTTTTCTCTAAAAAAAATAAAAAGATAAGATAACGAATTACAAGAAGAGAAGTAGCGTAAGTAAGTAGTATTGCTACTGTGAACTGTCAAACCACGACATAGCCTGAATCATGTAAAAATACACATACAAATATATATATATATATAGCGACTTTAGTTATATAATTTTAGGCCCGGATTTTAAAATCTTTTACAATAATTTCGAAATAGAGGAAACACAAACTTTTTTGAAGTTATAAAAAACATGCAATATCACACCAGTATATTTTGTTATAATAACAACTATATTTTGTTATAGAGAAAATAATCTAATAGTGATAGTTTTTCTATTAAATATTCAAAATCTAAATTTATTATGAATTGTTTTAGAAAAAATATACTAAAAAGGATATTTTAAAAAATATATTTATTTTAGAAATATTCTTTTTAATATAATTTTTTCTAAAACCATTCATAATCAAATTAGAAGTTAAAAGATATACATACTTTATTCACAAAAATCCTAAAAATTTCTGAACTTATACTTTGGAGTAATATTAATTCATAAACTTGTAGAGGTGCCTATTAATTCTCAAACTTGCAAAATTGAACACGTTAAATCTTGAACTTGTAAACAGTTCCATAATTGTCCATATCACTATTTGGTCAAAAAAAGAGTTGACCGATCCGATGTGGCGCGTGACGTAGCGAGCCAACTCAGAAACTTACCGCCACATCACGTGTCACGTCAGATCGGTCAACTCGTTTTTTTTACCAGATAGTGTTATGGACGATTATGGAACTGTTTAACAAGTTTAGTGAATGTGTTCAATTTTGCAAGTTTGGGAATTAATAGACACCTCTACAAATTTAGGAATTAATATTACTCCAAATTACAAATTTAGAAATTTTTAGAGTTTTTTTCCCTAAATAAACACTAAACTTTTTAAGTGATTCAAAAAAATACATAAACTTTTATCTGATTGCAAAAAAACACAACTTTTTAAATGATTCAAAAAAATATATGAACTATATACAATTATAAAAAAAAACTTAACTACAATAATTTGATGTATTTGAATTTTCTTATACTACGTCAACTCATTTGTTTATTTTAACAATTGTAGAAGAGTTAAGGGTTTTTTCAGAAAATTTAAAAAGTTTAATGTTTATTTGACAAAATCAAAAGTTTATAGTTTTTTTTTGTTAAAATTGAAAAATTATGTGTTTATTTTTTTGAATTTTTCCTAAATATTTCATAATAAAGTATTAGTATAATGTCAAACCTATAGAATCTTATTAGTATTTAAATTTTATAGATATTTATTTGATTAAACCAATTTAATGAAATACATACTAAGATTATATCATATTTAGTGCTATATATATGTTATCATAATAATAATGATTTAACAACCCGTATAAAATCAAACCGTTTTTAATTTAAATAAATTGGAGTTATATCGTCATTTAGTTGAGTCTTTTATTTAGTTCGGTTATTTTATTTAATTTGCTTCTTATTCTTCTAATCATCCCAATTTGGTTTATATTTATACTTCATGATCCGTTTTAAGATTTTTGTCTATGCACTGAGAGAGTTAAATTAGTTCTTCATATATAAAAGATCTATCACCGTCTTGTAAATCATCCATGATAAAAGTTAAAGTTTCAAAAAAAGCGTCACTTACCAGACTCATACAAACTCTAATTAGACTCATTCGAGAATAACTTTTCACTCAACGTATACATTTTAAGACCCGATTCGATAAGTTTTTGGAAAATATTCAAAAATACACAACCAAACTCGCATTTTACATTACATCCTACTAAAACTTTAATAGTTTCTATTTATCATACATTGATAAGAGTTAACACAAATATTTATAAAAAAACTATTTATCATATCTTGATGATATTTATCAAAAACTGAAAGGTTAATAGTTATAATGAAATATTTATTTGATATTTTAAAATTGATATATTATTTTTTGTTAATTTTATAATATTTTGTATAATTTAATATTTTTCTGAGAAAAAAGTAAAGATTTTGATTTTACAAATAATAAATAATAGAAAAAACCTATATTATTGATATTACAATAGAGAAAAATAATTATTTCAAAATAATTTTATTTGGGACAATGAATTATCTGTATAAATTTTGTCTTCTTATTAAGTATATTAATTTGCTAGTCAAATGAATAAAAATAAAATAAAATAGATAAATATATTTAACTATTAATATAATATATATAGTCGAATAAAGATGAATATGCAAATAATCCTTATGAAAATTATTGACTACAATATAATTTCTTATTAGACGATTTGTTTATAATTTTGGTAAAATAAACTAAATCGATCAAATATAAACGGTCAATATCATTAATCGATTCTTTGTATCGATTTTTCATCTAAATTTTTATACATTTTCAAATTTGCGACCGAATATAAAATGATTAAATTCTACTCTTTTATTAGCCTTTTGATGTTAATGTTTTTTGTATTTACTTAATACATAGAGTATTTGATAATAATTCTTGAATTTCAAAATATGTGAAATCCAAATTAAAATCTTTTGGTAAAACGACTTGATTTATTCGTTATACGGATTTTACAATATCTCATATTATTTTTCCTTGTTATAACCTTCTTAATTTGATAACGTATAATCGAATGCAATCTGATATATATACACACACATATGTCATATTAATATATGTAGATATCCGCACGTATTTTGTTGAATTGACATGAGTATTTTAAATTTAAGAGTACTTAATCAACAAAAAAATTAAGATATAAATGCACATAAACATATATACATAACTATATATATACACATATATGTATATAAATTTATATGTACATGTATATATATGTATGTACTGCAAGCAAAAGATATCTGTATGACCTCTGAATAATTCATGATAATCTTCGTCTTCTTCCTTTGTTTGCTGTTAGAGAGATTCAATCAGTTGGATAAGGGTCTCCAAATTTCTTCCCCGATATTGCCCTGAGTAGAAGCCTTCATTTTTAAGAATCTTCTCCATCTGACATAATTTATTGGTATTGCTTCTGGAATTGTTGCTGTCACCGACCCATCATCATTGTCATCTGTAGCAGAACCTTTATTTGTTCAATTTAATTAAATAAATATACCCCTGATTATAGAAAAAAAACACAATATCTAAATGAATACCTTTGACAACTTTGTTCGTGTCTGTAGAAGTTGGCAAAACTTTTTCCTACGGGAATTTTTTAGAACCTTGGAAGTTAATATCGATGAGGAGAAGAAGAAATACATGAGAAAAAAGAAGAAGAGGAAGACGAAGAACAAATACCCAAAACTCATTGAAAGTTTTTACTGTACATAAAGCTATTTTTTTGGTCAACTATAAACCTTTACAATTATAGATGGTGATAGAGTTTGCAAACCCAGTTTCTCAAATGGTTTGAGAAAGTTCAGCCAGTGGCTTTGAAGATTATTTGGAGCTGACAGTTCAATGGTGTGAGAAGATGAGTTACCGAAAAAATAACAAAAAAAACCACGATAACAACATTCTATATTTTCTCAGAACTAATTTAACCTCATTCTATGTGATTTTTGTAAATTTTTTTTGATACAACATATTTATATACATAGCTGATAGTATCTCTTTAATGATTAATTCATCAACTCTTCAGACTTTGCATGCACCGATGATTAAATGACCTCCTTCAATTTTTTAACTAGGAATTAATTACTTTGACTTAGAATTTTGATTAGTTCATGGAACTGTTTTGGGCTTTGCGTTTCATGCAACAATGATTAAATGATTTCCCCTCATTTTTAATTAGGATTTAATTATTTTTATTCAGAATTTTTTTAAGACACGTGTCACCTCCTCAAAACACTAACTAACTGTACTTTTATATATAAAGATTTATCTGTATGTTGAGATACAAATTAAGAAGGCATTTAAAAAGTTACTAAATTCTTTATCAGTTGTTCATAGTTAATTCCAAATTTTTCAAGAGACTATTATGATTAGCATTTTTAACAACGAGAACAATAATCGTTATTATTTATATTTACATATAATAAATAAAGAGTTATATATATATATATAACAATTGATAATGCAAATGGAAATCAGTATAGGCCTGTAAGGGCTTATGGTTAAATAAATGGGCTTATAGGCCCATCTCATTTCCAAAAAAAAATAATCACACTATTTCGTTACAAACGGTTGGACCGAAACAATTAGTAAATGCTGTACGTACTTACAATCTAATTATTTAAATTATAAAATCATATGAACCTCCCCCACTTGGCCCCTTTTTTTCCCGTCCCAGTTGAAGCTTAGGGCAAGTTGCCGAGGGCCACCGCCGCCGCTGCTCCTCGACGCCGTTCTCCGCCGTTAACAGCTGTTTTCGTGCCTATCCGCCGCGATGTCTCAGGTATGTAGGCCTATTGATTAGTTCCGGTTTCTTGTTCCGGCGTCAGTATCGCAGATATGACATTGTCTGGGTATGGAGCCCCTTGTTCCTGTTAATTTTGGAAAAATCTGTTAGTCTCGTCCAAATCTCGAAGAATTGTATATCACCGCGATCCTTGTTCTTTTGTCTGAATCGATCCCGGAGATAATTTTTCATCGGTGATTTCTGCGTCTTTTGATCTGGTTTTATCTCTCTCTGCTCTGAATTTATAGGTTGACAGCAGAAATTCATCCGCGACCAAGCGTGCTAGAACTGACGGTATGCTTTTCGTTCTTTTTATGCTATTTCTATCGATCCGTGTCCTGAAGAGCATAGTGCGTGTAAAGTTCAATTTTCATGTTATGGCTTGCGGTTGTAATGTGACAATATCCCCCAACTTTTACTTGGAAAGGCATTTTTAGTGTTGCTTTGTATCAAAAAAGACTCCTGGAGTCATTGATTTTGTTTTTGTTGTTCTCTTCCTCTGTTTTATTGATACTTGGTTCTTGTGTTTCGGAAGTATATACAATGTATAGTTCACCGCGGATAGTGTGTTAGACTCTGTATGTAGGCTTCCTTGAATATGTGTGAACTTCTTTATTTCCTTGGTATTTTTTAGTTTGAAATTGTGTTCCATTCCGTCCTCGAACACATAGTCAGTGGTACTATATTTGTTCTCACTTGTTTATAAGTACTCATTCTCTTTGTACAGACATTATAACTCGTTTAATTTTCTTTTTGATTGAGAATAGATGGTCGCAGAGAAGATGATTGGACCTGCCCCAGTTGTGGAAATGTTAATTTTTCGTTCAGGACAACTTGCAATATGCGTAATTGTACTCAGCCCAGGCCTGCAGATCATAATGGAGTAAGTCAGCTGTAGTATAGCTTGTTGTTGCTGTTGAGGATAATCCTTAAATTACAAAAGTATGGCATGTCAAATGCAGGGCATTTGTCTTTCATGTGAGGTTATATAATCACCAACTTTATGTTACGAACCTTGTTAGAGCTCTTAGATCTCCATACAAGACAGTTGAGAAGGTGAATTATTTGCAAGTCATGCTAGGATATTGGATCTGCAGAATGATTGCAGTGATTTATGATCCAATTTAATATTATATCTATTATCTACTTGATGTTTTTTTCTTGTTTATTTGATTATCCGGCATGATCATAGAGAATATGCTGTATGTTGTAACAGAAGTCTGCTCCAAAGCCTATGTACCATCCACAAAATTACTCATCACCAGGACCATATATCGGTTCGGGAGGCCCCCCTTCAGTATACATGGGCGCCTCTCCATACGGATCTTCCCTCTTTAATGGGTCTTCCATTCCTCCTTACGATATTCCATTCTCTGGGGGTTCGCCTTATCATTTCAATTATAACAGCCGGATCCCTGCGGCAGCTCCTTATAGAACACTTCATATGTCTGGACCACCGCCATACTCTGTCGGATCTATGATGGGAAATGGTACTTTTTTTTGTGCTAGTATTATATAGCGCTCAATCTACAGAGAATCTGATGGTTCAAGTTCTTCTTGTACCATCAGTTGATATGTATTTGAACTGATTCTGCTGGTGTATCTTTGGTTTTTTTGTCAGGCATGTACGGGATGCCTCCACCAATGGACAGGTATGGCCTTGGTATGTCCATGGGTCCTGGTCCTGCAGCTGCTATGGTATGTATAATCTTTACTATCTAAATGCTTGACTCTGATCACGCACAAGATGGAGTAAATTTTATGTTCATCTTGGTGGAGGGTTGATGGTTCTGTCTTAGCACTTGGTGTGTTATCTTATCTTTTGGTGCAGATGCCAAGAGCAGGGTTCTATCCAGATGAGAAAACTCAGAAAAGAGGTGCGTGCTAGTTATCTTTCCCCTTTCAAGAACCTTTTAGCTGCAACATTGAGTTTATAACAATGGTTGACTTGATATATCCTGTGAAAATTCACTACAGATTCAACTCGCGATAACGACTGGACATGTCCCAATTGTGGTAATGTGAACTTCTCATTCAGAACTGTATGTAACATGAGGAAGTGCAACACTCCAAAGCCTGGATATCAGGTTTTTGCCACTTTCGTTCATCGTTTTTACGGTTTCAAGCTAGAAAATTCTCCAGAGCTCATCTGTACAACCGTATCACCAACTGAACTGATCCAATAATTTGAAATCTTCAGAAGCTATGAGTAGTTATGCGTAAGACCTGTTTGATTAAGCTTGGGTCTGGGTCCAAATTCTCAGATACTAACACTTAGTCTCTTACAAATGTAGGTTGGGGGCTCAGACAACAAAAGTTCCAGTAAGTCCCTTGAATATTTAAGTATGCTCTGCTTTACATTTTAGACCCTGATATACTGACATATAGCTTATGAATCAGAACAAAAGGCGCCTGAAGGTAGCTGGAAGTGCGATAAGTGTGGAAATATAAACTATCCATTCAGGACCAAGTGCAACAGGCCGAACTGTGGAGCTGATAAACCAGTGGAGGACGAAAGATCTCCTTCCCCAGCACCAGACGAGAATGATCAGGTTTGTCAAATGATGCATTTACGTGTTCACGACTATATATTTTTTTTCTTTCAAAATGGTTGCTTCCAAATCCCATGCATGTAAATTTTGTACATTTTATGCTTTTCGGAAGCAGCAGGCACATGTTAATGAGGAATTTTGAAGGAAAGATTCCCTCGCATTTTATTCATTCTTTCTTCTCCACTACTAAATTATAAAAAAAATGAAGAACCTTAACTCAACATAGTGTTCAGGTTTGATGTGGTCCTCAATTTCTCTGAAACGTTTTTTTTTCTCAATGTGTGTAATGTTCCAGTGAGTCGTAGACAGTGTCTGAGGGTTGAGAAGGTCATCAAGCGTTTGCTCAATATGGGTGTCCTAATGTCAGTCGTTGTCGTTCGGGTCATCGTCCATGTTGCTGCGGTCGTCAAAAAGTCACCGTGTGTTCTGTTTTTTTATTTATATATCCCATATAAGCTGGGGGACTGTTGTATTATTGCCAAAGTACTGCTTTATGTATTTTTGGATCCTCCTTAGAATTCCCCAATGTCACAATCTGACTTAGTGAAACTGCTATAATTATCTTACTAGAGATTCATTAAGCCCTGTGTGTGAAAGGAGTTGTGCCTCTTGTTTGGGTTTTACAGTTGGGAAGAGAGATTTGATTTATTTGCATAAGAGGTTCTTGAAGTGTTTTGTAGGATGTTCATATTCTGATCAAAATAGTCTTTTAGTAGAGACAGATCATATGAACGGAGAAAGGGAAAAAGCATGTGGGATCAGTATCGGCATGGCTGGATTGGCAGACGGTCGGAGCGTGCTTCAGATGAAGTTGTTGACAGAAGAGAGAGAGCATGGTGGTCTTGAGCATCATTTACACCACCTGAATTTATATGTATATCACATTATCACAGGTCCTACTAATGAATTATATGCAGAGAACATGTATAATACGTATATAAAAAAGGACCTTTGCCAGGAAGCTGGAAGCTGATGATGCTGGATTTCCCTGATGAGAAGCCGATGGCGCTTTGTAAGCTCAGTGTAAAACCGCTATTTGCTTGCGAGGCTCCCCAAGCATACATTTGCTCGGATCTTGTGTTGAATGACAACACATTTGTACACTGCTGTCTCCTCTCTGCGCATGATGAAATGTACAAGTTTTCAAATCCCTGCTTCATAATAATAGTGTTTTTGGTGTTATTAACGCTTATTATTACCATATATTATTGCAGGATTCAGTGGGTATGTTCCTTGTGGTTTGCGACGCCTAGCATTGTGATGTGATAGTCGTTTACGACAGCTGCGTTTCTTCTCATCAAACTCAGAGAGAACGTGAAACCTGCCCAAAGTTGGGAAGTGCATTTTACGGTAAGAGAAGTTAAAGCTAGTAATCATTCGTTGGAAATTCCAAGATATACAGATTACCTGCTACACTGCTGGCAGAATCGACACTCAAGGCCGTCCACAATAACTTTGGGGTACTTAGAATGGCTTTCACAAACTCTATGCTTGCGATGATAACCCTTTGAAGAAGAGAGATCCATGTCACAACCCTCAACCTGGCAACGGGGAACCTGCACGCTCGGGCCGCTCGGTTTGGATTTCTCGGTCATGACAGATGGAATCAACTTCATGGAAAGGGGTGAAACGTCGTTGTTATTGTTTCCACCGCAAAAATCGTCACGGTAGGTCCGTTTTTTCCCGAGTTTTAAACCGAGAAAGGATTGGGCAGGGGATGATGCCTTCACCTGCCCAAACTCTATGATGCTGCAAGAATCTTCAGGAATGCTTTCCGATGCAAGCTTATGACATGTTCTAACTCCAGGCGACAAAGAAGCAGAGTCGCTGCTGCTGCTGGAGAAACATGGAAATACTGATTCGATGCCTTCGATCTCCCACTCGACTGATAGTTGCTGATCTTTGCACATGGTCAAGTAGTTCTCCCAGTCCCACTGCATGGGGGATCTCATGTTGCAGTCCATTAAAGCTTTAGAGAATGAATGGTCATATATAGAACTGCCACGTCAAAACCAAAGCCGAAACAAATCCTGCAAAATTCACATCAAAGAAGTATTTGATAAAATCTACATGTTGCCAAAGATTAAAAGACCCAACGAAGCAAATGATTCCAAATCATTCCTCGTAATTAGTCACATCGTGACGAGTCAATTTGGTACTTAACTAATTAAAAAAAAACCCAAACTGAAGATTTTATCTGAAAAATTAGTATTTTTATTAAAAAATCAAAACCAAACTGAATCAAATGATTATAGTTTTTCTAAAACTAAAATAACTTGATCCAAATCGAAAGCGTAATGACCCACACGACAGACCTAACCTTGATGGCGCCTATCAGTAAAACCAAAAGTCCTATAATCTAACTTCTTTTTCACACAAGATAAAGCCTTCACCAATCAAACCATAAGTCAAATCGGCACCACGCACTTCTCCTCGCAATAACCCTCACGTTTTTTAAGCCTCCTCTTGAGCTCTCTCCGTCACCAAACTCAAGTTAGGGCTCATTCGATGGGCCAACACACTCACACACAAATCAGCTTTCCAAAACTGTAAGCAACTCGCCAGGAAACCCCACACATCTCAGATCCAAGAATACGACCAAAGGATGAACATGATTATGTCTATAAACTAAAATAACGCAGGTAAGAGAAAACGCCACCCAGCTCTCAACTCAATGAGAATTTAACTACACAATTTTTAGCAGCCATGGAGATTGAACGAAAAAGATGCAACATTCAGCGAGGTTTCGATCCCCAATAATACTACAGTCCCCAAGCCAAGCTAGGGTTTTACTCAAATCACCATGAAGAAAGCAACCGTATACCATTGACTGAAGGACAAGGGAAAACGATTTGCTGCAAAGCAAGAAAACAAGCCCCGTGTCTGCTCTCTTTCCCGAGGAAAAGAGAAACTGTGTCCACTAGAAAAGGGGGAAAAATGCAAACAAATAAGCACGAGCAAGAAATGAAGAAAACAAAATCAAAAGCATGGAAGAAAAACATGAAACCAGTCGCCGTTTTCACTGATTTGCTACTGCTACATCATTCGCCGTAAGTACTCTTAACTGATTCAACACGGACAAATCGATCTCTCTCGCACCAAAAAGTAAATAAACCCTAAAACTCATAGCAAAAGAACCGGAAGAAATCCAAATCAATCCAGGAACACTGGGGAAAACAACCGAAAGAGGAAGAACTCGCCCGGAGATTACCGATCGGAGAAGCGAAGATTGAGTAGAAGCGACGGCGGAGACGAGCGGTGACCTGTGAAACTGAATCAGCTGCTCAATAATGAGACACCGATGCGAGTTGCAGAGGAGAAAGAGATGACCCCCAAATATGTGAGAGAAAGATGGGGAGAGAGAGAGGGGATAAATTCCTCCCTTTTTTTTTGGCCCTTTCGTTTTTCTTTCTTTTTCTATTTTTTTTATAATCAGATATAAATATCTGAATTTTTATAAAATTTTCAAATAAATACCGAATGACCTGAATTTTTTTTCCTTTCCCAATCATTTTGCTTATTCAGATTTAGGTGAGTGAGGCCATTTCGGTTCTGTATATTTTTTGGTTTAGTTTCGGTATATTTAATTTAAATATTTATATTTTGATTTTAGAAAAATTATAATAATTCGTTTTTATTTTAAATTAAAATTTTATTTGGTTTTATTTATAAAAATATTTATTTTATAAAAATTTGATCTTTTTCGAATAAAAGATCCAATTCCATTTTTTATTTTAATTTGGTTTAAATACGTTTACATGCCATTCGATTTGAATCAATTTGAGTATCTAATATATATATTTGGTCGTGAAATAAAAGGTTTATTGATGATATTGATAAAGTTTCAATTTTGATGTGAAATTAAAATCTGGTTTAAAAAATGATATTTATTTCCATTAGTTTTTAAAACGTAATCTTTTCCAAAGGTGACAATTTAAAAGATAAGGTTAGGGGTACTAAAATGTCGGAGTTGAATATTTATTTTATAAAAATAAAAGATAGTCGTTTAAAAAGTTTAACTTTTTGTTTTAAAATTCAGAATTTTTATTAGTTTACTTAAATTTATTTATTTTATTAGATGGTGGATATAAATGACAATGGCAACCATCAAGTTAGTAAATCTGTAGACTCAAATTAATGTTTTAAAAATAATGGAATTAGATTCGTCGTTGGAGTATGATACCACGTTTTGTATTTTTTTCATATATCTTAATTTGACGTGTGTATATATATATTACTTTGTTTTTAATATAAGCTAACTCTTAATCTAAACAATATATATGATATATTAATATATGTGAAAGAATAGGAAACCGATACCTATGAGCCGAGAGGCGTTGCGGTGTCTAATATCCGAGAGTCGTAGGATAGGAGTTCCTATCGTATAAAAAAAAAAAAAAAGGAAACCGTTAATTTTTTCCTGATGAAAACTGATTTTATGTTTTTTTTTTATAATTCAGGAAATAATAACTCGTATATCTCGTGTTCCACGTATTTTCATAATAAAAATAATATTCACAAGTATCAGACGTAATATGCGGTGTCGATATTTTCAGAATTTCTCGTAGATGCTACGTTCGATGAGACACACGTGCGTCCTATACATAACACACGCGCGCGCTTATATAACGGCGATACCCAACGGAGACAAGTCAGCAGTTTAGCTGTTTTGGGCCCTCAGATGGGCCCACGCCCATTATCGCTTTTTTTTTGCCGGAATTTTGTGATATTTTGATATAATTCCCTACCGATTTTTTTAACATCTTTTCTCTAAAACATTTATTCGCATTCTATTCTTTGTATACTTTTTTGACAAAGTATTTTTTGTATACTTTTCAATTAATATTTATTTGTTGGATTTTATTTTTATAAAACAGCCAAAATATCTCGATATCTCCGTACCAATGGAAATGGTGACGAGTAGACAGGGATATATTTAAAACTGATTTTTTTTTTGTTTTTTTTTTTGTAGCAAAGAGGCATTCACTTGTTCGGTCTAAGTCCATACACTTTATGGAATATACGCTTTTTTATGGGTCATTTGTTATAAAATTATTGATTAATCAATTAAAATTTATCTTGCAAACTTTAGGATTTTAATAGACCCAAAATGAAAATATTCATCGACAGATAAAGTCAAGTCAACTTTGGAATTCTCGATACAAATTTTTATGGCTAACAACACAATAATAATAATAATAATAATAATAATAATAATAATAATAATAATAATAATAATAATAATAATAATAATAATATGTAAAGGTTTAAACCGTTTAATCGGTTATTAAAATCCAATGAAAAAAAAACCATCTTTTTAACTGTTTCTGTGCATGGGGATAAAAAAGCTAGCCAAATATGAAAACATGGTGGTCGGTCCATATATATATGCGTCAAAGTGTATTATTAAAACAAGTTGAAATTGTAAAGCATAGACAGATGGAGACAGACATGACAAGGAAGTAATTAGTGAAGTAAAAGACATTTTAATTCATAATTTTTTTATAATAATAATAAATAAAAAGAGTAGTGGTTAATTAGTGGTAATTAGTTCTTGTTGTTATGGGAGAGCATTTGATCTCGGAGAAGCCTCCTCATGATTTTGCCGGAGGGAGATTTGGGGATGGAATGGACGAATCGTACGGCTCTGATCTTCTTGTAGTGAGCCACGTTCGATGCCACGAACTCGATGATGTCGTCTTCCCTCTCTTTCGCTTTCGAGTTCATCACCACGCATGCCGCCGGTATCTCCCCCGCTTCCTCGTCCGGCAACCTACGCACAAATCTCGTACGTATCATAATATATATATATATATATAGAGAGAGAGAGAGAGAGAGAGATATCGTGATAACGTAGAAAAGCGTTGGAGGGATAAGCCTATATAGAGGCTTACGGCACAACAGCGGCGTCGATAACGTAGAAAAGCGTTGGAGGGATAAGCCTATATAGAGGCTTACGGCACAACAGCGGCGTCTTCGACAGAGGGATGAGTAAGAAGAATGGCCTCGAGTTCCGCTGGTGCAACCTACAATAACAAAAATGATATACATGATCATCAAAATCGGAGAAATATCCCAACGGATGATCCCGATCTTGAGATTAGTATGGGTCTCGGTTACCCAAAACAAAATTGGAGAAATGTCATATGAAACTGAAGAAGATTGAGATGAAAACTCTGTGAAATCAAGAAGCAAATACTATCATCTATCATATATGGATCTTACTTGAAAACCCTTGTATTTGATAAGCTCTTTGATCCGATCAACGATGAAGATATCACCGTCGTCGTCGATATAGCCTATATCGCCCGTGTGTAACCATCCTTGCCCGTCGATTGTCCTCGCCGTCTCCTCCTTATTGTTGTAGTACCCTTTACTCATTGATCAAATGATACACACCATTTATGTGTATATACAATGCTTAAAACATTTTAAACAATAATCGATCATAGGTAAAACCCTAGTTTCTATAAATGGCATGAATTGCGGTATATATATAATAGACAAATGGGTACCTTGCATAACACATTGGCTCCTGACGCAGAGTTCGCCTGAAGTGTTCTTGGGGAGGGACCGACCAGTGTCGGGATCTATGAACTTCACTTCAAGATTCGGTAGTATGAATCCGACAGAGTTTCTCTTCGCAATGCCTTGTCCTTTCGCTGGATCTCCATGTGTTAACGTGATGCAGCTATGCTCGGTCAGTCCATAAGCCTTTTTTCACATAACCAAAACACGCATTAACATTACAAAAAAAAAAAAAAGAATTCAAGAAAGAGACGATCGTAATTAGGGTTAATTTTCGTTCATGCATTTACTTCCTGGACTTGGACGTCAGGGAACTTGGCCTCGAAGGCGGTGAGGAGCTCGGGGGCGAGAGGAGCTGCCGCAGTCATAACGGTACGGAGCTTGAGCTTGGAGAGATCGAACTCATCGACGATAGGGTTCTTGACAAGATTCAATATTATCGGTGGCACGATGGGTGCGAACGTCACTTCGTGTGCGATCAAAGCGTTCAGAAAGATTCTGAGTTCGAATCTGTTCATCACCACCACTTTCCCTTTGTTCTTCATCGTCGCACAACATATTCCTACTATCCCGTAGATGTGGAAAAACGGTATCAGACCAAGTGCAGCAATCTGCGTCCAAATATTTAACTCGATCGATGTCGGTCCAATATATATGAACGAAAGAACTAACTGATATATGTGTATATATACACACAGATAGTACCTGACCGATCATTTCGGCACCGACACTGAAGAGGGAAGAACAGAGATTGGCGATGAGATTGCGATGAGTTAGCATAACACCCTTCTGCAAACCGGTAGTGCCCGAGGAGAAGGGAAGTGCGCAGAGATCTGTCTGAAGAATCTCTTGTCTGGTCGATCTTATGATGCTGTCTCCTGCTTTGTCTCCTGCTTCTAGAAGCTCCTTCCAATTCACCGCTCCTTCTATCTTCTCTTCCCCCAACACTATCACTGGTAACCCTAATTCCTTCACCTGACCATTATAATCTACGGTTAATAACGCTTGTACTTTCCATACGTATACACATACACGTCGTAATTATATAAGAGCAACATTAAAGGATCGTACCTTCTCGTAGTTAGTGGGATCGGTGATGATCCCTCGAGCACGAGAGGCCTCGACCTGCTTCTTGATCTCGGAGACGTGAGCGGCGGGGTTGGCGCCGGAGAATATTCCGCCGGCGGACATGATTCCTAGGGCAATGATTCCATACTCCGCGACGTTCGGTAGGACCACGACCACCACGTGTCCTTTCCTCAGCCCCAGCGAAGCCAACGCCTTCGCCAGCCTGGCCGTATCCCTCTTCACCTCTCCGTACGTGTACGCTTTCCCCGTCACGGCCTCCACGAACGCCACCTTCTCCACGTGCTCTTCCACTCCTTGTAGCACAAACTCCGGCTTCCGATAACCAAACCAACCAATCTCACCGGTTTAGCATAACGTAAAAGATTTATATATAGAAGAAGATTATGAATACCAGTGTGATGTTGTCGGGGATGGGAACGGACGAGTATTTGCTGCGGAAAATGTGATCGTCGTTTTGCATTTGAGTTTCCATTTTCTCTCCTGTGAAGGTGTTTTGCTTCGTGTCGGTCGATATAATGGCATAAGCGGGGGATACATATATATATATATATATACAAGAAATGAATGTATCAAATTTTTTTTTTTAGTTTATGATTTGTTAAGCTTTTTCATGTTATGTGTGTGGGCTAATGTTTGGTGATTAAGAGAGGAGTAGAGAGACGAGAATCTTTGACGCAGTTGGGATTTTGTTGGGTCACGTTTGTGATGCAGTCAGTGAAGCTTTCTTTTATGTTCTTGCAATGGGCCTCTATACAAGCCCATTCATGTGAACATTTTATTTGAATATAATTTGTTATTCGATTTTGTAACCATTTTACGGTGTTCAGGTTATTCCGTTACAGAAAATTTGTACCATTCAGTTATTATTATAATATGTTTGGTTCGATTTGATTCGGTTTTAAAAAATGTTTATTTTCTTTAGAAATATTTTGTTTTTATTTTTAATATTGGATTTCCGATTTGATTCTATTACAGTTTATTCAGTATTTTAAAATTAGTTTTGGAAAGGATTTTGATTTTTTCGATTTGAATTTCTTGAGTCCCACCCCCTTATATATTTCCCACTGAATTGAGACAAGTCGATGGTATATTTTTTAGTTTAAGGAATATATTGGATGATGATCTTACACACATATTATATGCAAAAACTTCTAAAATGTTTTGTATTACGGTGACAATAGTATGCGCAATATTGTATGGTCTAACAAAGAGGACCATAAAAACATCATCATTTGTTTATCGACCAACACCATAAGCTAAGAAAACAACTTAACCCATTCCCTTTGGATGAATGATGAAGGCCATCATCATGAAGCATCATGGTGAAACATACATTCCAACCCCCCACCACAAAAAAAAAAAAAAAAGAGAGTTTGATTTCAAAGTTCAAACCCTGAATCTCTTATTTCAATTTTTTTAAATAAACAAATATATATATATATATAAATGAAATAGGGTATTCTCCCAAGACAAGCAGAAATGATTGCAGCATACATCCCTTGGTTTTAACAAAACCTAATGATTAGCAATGAAATTATGATCCTTCTCTCTCTCTCTCTCTTAATTTGAATCCATCATTACCTTTACCGTCTCACACACTTTCCAATTATCTACAAACTTTTATGTTTAGTCCCATCTAATCTTTTTTCTCAAATTACCACTATAACACTAATTACATCAAAACCCTTCTCATTTAGTTTCCATCAACAATTATAAATTACGATTAAATGCCACAAAAGAGTCCTTAATTCATTCCCCTACCAATAATATATATATATATATATACATATGAAGGAGTGATAATTTTATTAAGCAAGAAAATGGACTTGGAAGCAATAGCGTCTGGTGTGGTTTGCGTACCGTAGGTACGTACGTTTTCGGTAGCCGAATACACTCGGACCTCCCTCTCACCCCCCCAAGTGTTGGCATACCCAATGCCAATTCGACACGTGTCATATGGTCACCCCCTATATTTATTTATCTTGAAAAAATTATTTCCAAATCAAGATGGTAACATGTTTATATAATCATATATATATGCACAAGAATGACGGTACAAGTTAACTTGGTGTAATTGTTTATATTTTTTTGTTATATTCCACATATCATATACTATATTAATACCGAAATTATAATTGGTAGATAGTATACTTTAGAAAAATATTTTTTTTGTTAACTTACTTTAGAAAAATATTGTAGTTTATATATATATATATATATATATATATATATATATATGTGTGTATAACTTCACTATAAAACTGCTTGTAAAACTTATTTAATGACTTTTTATCGTCTTAAATATATAGAAATAAAAGGGTAACAAAATCTATATGGTATGTGTCGAAAAAAAGTGTAATTAAATCATTGTTATTTAGATCGGAAGCAATATCACCTCACCTATTATTACACATGACTCCATTGCATATATATGCGACTATTTATAATTATTTTAGCCAATGATTCCCATATGATCTACCGTGAAGTCGAATTGGAAATTCTCAAAAGAGAAGTAAAAAGAAACAAAACGGAATCGAAACCATATACTATAACGGCGGTCGATAGTTTGGAATCCCGATATGATATGATATTCACGAAGAGGTTAAGTTATCATTATTATCTTATAGTTTATTGGTAAATGCTTTGTAGAATGGAAGAGACATGATTGTCCATCTCAAATTGATGGAATGAGAGAAAAAAAAACCAACGCTTTACGACTACTTTACAGTCTTCTTTGGAATCATTCGATCGTTTGAATTATTACACACATAAATCAAAAGGAAGAAAGTTTTTTTTTTTGTAAAAAACAAAGAAATTGAAGAAAAAAAATATTATTGAATACTAGACGTTTACATATTGAGTTTTCTTTTTTGGATCCGAATTTTAAATTTCAAAATATATATCAACTCGATTTTTATATAGAGATTTATTTCGATTCAAATATTAGTTATTTTATAATTAATACCCCCTCGTTATTTTAATAGTTGATAATAGATAATATATTTTGTTACTAGTCATTTTAAATTTTTTAAAACAAAATTTAGATTTACCTTTAATTAAAACTATCCAATTTCAATTAAATATTTAGTAAAATTTCATGTATTATACGAAAGTAAGGGAGTATTAGTCTAGTTTTAATACGATTAATTAAATGTAAAAAACTTGTCAAATTTATTTTTAATCGATGTCAATTCATGTATATGGTTATATATTGTTTAATTAATTTGATTCAGTTTTATATAAAGAAACCGAAATAATAAATAACATGTTACAAACCATTATCATGAAGTTTATTGGCCTACCAATACAAAAATTCTACAGTGTCATGATAGCTTTTTGTGAAGACCAACTAGACTTGGGATTATCATATTATTACACCGTTCAAATTATAGATTTGGAAGCGTCTTAATAGAATTATGCAAAATAATCAAATCAAATAAACATAATTCATGGAATTACGAGTTTGCACAAACAAGCAAACCACAGAAACAGCCGCGACGAGGGGCATTTACGTCATTTTACAGGATGGGTTTTTCAAAAGAAGGTGTTGTACTTATGCTAACAAAATCATAATAAAAAGCAGCAAAAAAAAGAGAGAGAAAAAACGGAGGTGGACCAATCATGCCGTGTGCTTGGATGAAGAGGACACGATCTCAGCCGTTGGATCTGATTAGGTAGATTTCAGCCGTCGATGTGATTTGATTTCTATGGGACCCGCTTTTTAGAGTGGTCTTGTTGACCGGATTGACCAGAAGAGTGTGCGTTCACACACACGTGCGAAAGGCACGAGAGGGAGAGATATTCCGCTTTGCTGTGAGAATCCAACACATAATGACCTCGATTTCTTCACGATTTGACCAAATTGCCCTTTTTTTTTTAAATCCCCACACGCTTTTGTTGTGTATGTGGTTTAAAACAAACACACTAGACATTTGCAATCCATGTAATTCTTGGGAGTAATTATGATATGGATTTTTTTTTGAATTTGGATCATATGAATTTATATATATATTCGTGTTAAATGGATAAAGTTTTTGGAGTTTTTAAAATTTCAAAATAAAAATTTGATAATTACGATTATAAATGATGATAATTTTATCTACTTGGTATTTGATGTGTGTGTGAAAAAATGTATGAAAAATGATTGGGGTGTCATTTGTCGCTTGTCCGCGAGGTTCCTAATTCGATTTAACCAGACGATAAAGAGAGAGCACAATTAATTGAGTAACTAAAGATTAACTTCATGACTATATAGATTAGATGGACAGAATGTTCATTGATGATAATTTTAAATTTTGGTTTTTTGATTTTAGTTATTGGTTTTTAGTTTTGATGTTATGAACCATGATAACTTTTGTTTTGGGGTTTTTGTTTTAGATTTTTGAGTTTTTATATTTTTTTTTTATAAAATATGAGAATTCAAAAGAATGGGTTTATGGTTTTTACTTTGATTATAAATGAGGATAGTTTTTGTTTTGGATTTTTGGTTTTAGTTTTAGTTTTTTGGTTTTTAATTTATCATTTATCATTTTTATAGTTTTTACAGTTTTTATAAAACATGAAAATCCAAAAAAATGGGTTTATGATTTTTATTTGATTTTTTCAATAAAATAGTTTCCATTTTTTAGAAAAATCAAATCAACAAAATCTTGACTGTTTTATTTTGGTTTTTAGTTTTACACATAAGCGAGTACTCTACCCATTTGATTTTTTTTTTCAAAAAATGGTTTTTTAGGTTTTTAAGGAAAACAAATATACCATCTTGATTGGATTTTATTTTGGTTTTTAAATTCGAAAATTCTGAAAAATTCTTACTATTCAATGTCTAAGACTTCGTAATTTAGTTTTCCTAAAAATTTGGAAAATAATTTAATAAAAAATAATTAAAATACCAAAAGTTTCATTTTTTTTTTTCGGATTTACAAAATATTATAAAATCAAAAATCAAATTAAAATTCAAAAACAAAAAATAAAATTATGGTCTTGATTGTAGGAAGTTTTTCGAGTTTTTATTAGTTAAAAACTCAAAAAAACCTCCGATGAATATTTTACTTTTTTTAAAATCCGATAAATCATTTTCTTCACAAAATCAAATAAAAGACAAAAACCACTTTTTTTTTTT